AAAAAAAAAAAAGAAAGAAAGTAAAGGGGCTTGGGGAGAGGTGGGTGGGGAGTGTGACAGAGGGGAACAGAGAGGATAAATGAAGCAGCTGTCATTTGGAGAATAATTAAAAAGAGGAACAAAAGGACTTATGCCAGTGATTTCAGTTATGCTGAGCCCAGGATGAAAACTTCTTTGGCACTTGCACCCCTCACTGAGCCCTTGCGGCGGAGTCCTCTCTTTTAGGGACTATGAGTCTGGCCTCAAGCTGAGCTGAAGCGAGCTCAGGTAACAGCTAAGAAGTCACTTATGGTTTCTTCCCAGAGCAAAGGATTCCTGTATTCCGAAAGCAAATGCTGATTACCCACCATAAAAGAAAAGAAAGAATGGTGACATTTTAAATGGCAGTTTTTGTAGCTTCGGAAAGATGTGGCACAACTGGAACTCTCCAACACTGCTGGTGGGGATGTAAAATGCTGCAACCTCTTTGGAAAAATCTGGCAGCGTCATAAAAAGTGAAACCATTTTGCTCCTAAGTGTTTACCCAAGGGAAACGACTATGTACAGCCACGCAAAGGCTTATACACAGATATTCATGACAGCTTATTTACATGGCCCCGAGCTGGAAACGATCCAACCGTCCATCCACAGGGGAATGGATGGATAAACAGTGACACTTCCATGGTGGAATCTTGCCAACCAATCAAAAGGAACAAACGCACGACCACGCACATGAAATCTCAAAATGCTGAGGGAAGGAAGCCAGATTTTTTGAAGAGTATTTATTTATAATTGCATTTAGATTGATCTAAAATTCTAGAAAATTCAAACTAATTCCCTAATTCATTCAGTGGCTCCAAAGAGGTTGAAGGTAAGGGGGAAAGGATAGATTACAAAGAGGCACAGGGAAATTGGGGGGATGGTGGATATGTTTGCTATTTTGATTGTGGTGATGGTTTCACTGGCATATACAAATGTGAAAAATGTATGGTACTGTATGTCTTAAATATACGGTTTATTATATTACCGTATTATATTAAATATAATATAAATATATGGTTTATTATATTACTCCATTATATTACTGTAACTTGTCTTGGAAAGGCACTGTGAGCCTTTCTCTGGGGTGACCTAGTGCCCATGTTTCTGCTACATCTCCCTAGAAGATTTCCCAGATAAAATGCAGGATGCCTGTGGACCACAGTTCTCTCCATCATCACTGACCAAGGATGGAGGAGGAGACTGCTAGGTGTGACCCCATAGGGAGCACAATCTCATCCAGAATGATGTTAAAGGGCAAGAAGGTTAGAAAAGTTTAAGAAGAGAAGAATAAAGGACTGAGAAATTTTCTTCATAAACTTGTGGAACTCTCCACCCACTTCTATTATACGTAGGACAGAAATGTCAGAGGAAATGAACTTATCTTCTGATGTTTACAGACCACATGTATGAAAACTTAAAATGCTGAGTGATGAAAGACAGATTTCTTTAAAGGAATATTTATTTTATGATTCCGCTTATACGGAATTTTAGAAGATGTAGACTAATCTGTCAAGGATGGACTCTTTCAAAATGAAAACATGGAGTTTATAGGGAATGATGATCTATAAATTCTTAACATGATTGAGAGTGTGTTGAAAATCAAAAGCTCGTGAAGGATGACCCAGGTAGTATGCTAGGAACACCAATCCAGTAAGGTCTTCCTGCCACGTCAGACCAAGAAGGCAGCGGAGCAAACAAGCACTTCCCCTGGCTCCTGGTATGCACTTGGCAAATTTTCTTTTCTCTGATCCTGTTAGTAAAAAAACATCAGAAGCTGCCTGTTCGCATCTGGCCGGCCAGCAGTATACCCTAAAGAGAGAGCAGTCTCAGTCTCCCATCACGCCAGGTGCCTGGGGAAGCACAGGGACCGGCACCTCACTGCCTCCAGCCAAGGCCTAGCCCAGGAGCTGCTCCCAGAGTCAGAGCGGGCTGGGCACTTTGTGCTCTGAGCAAGAAAGCACCTGCCCGGCACCTTGTACTCCTGCGCGCTCCCTCTGGTTCATGGCTTTTTGTCTTCACCACAGGTACTCATAAGCAAAACAGAGTATTGTTACCACCACGCTTTTAAAATTAGGTAGATACTCTCATAATCTAGTACTTCCTCCTCCTACTCGTTTTGCGGTATCTGCAACGGCAGGCACTGACCCATTCACTCCTGTGTGGTACCTACTGTGGAAATAAGCCACAATTTCTTTATCTTCTCTTTTGATCACAGGCATTGATATTTCCACTCTGTTTGGTCCCAACTGGACATTCCCCATACTTCTCCTTGTGTGCCCAGGGAGAGCTGAAGGAAAGTGGTTCACAAACTTTCTGGATATTAGAATCTTTTTATGTGCTTAAAAATTGAGGATACCATAGAGCTTTTGTTTATGTGGGCTAGTTATAGTGTTAGAAATCTAGACACAAAAATGTGAAATATTTACATCATTGATTGAGTTTTTTAAACAATAATATGTAAGCCCCTTACATGGTAACATAAATATCTGTATTTTTCAACAGAAAAAAAATTAGGTGACAAGAAAGGTGTTTCTTTACATTTTTGCAAATTCCTTTCACAGTCTGACTTTAATAAAAGAAGCTGGATTCTTCCTCTGATCTGTTTCTAATACCAAATGCCAAATTGCCTCTGGAAAATTCTAGTCATGAGATAATAAAAGAGAGAAAAAACTTTTTAGTTATTTCTGAAAACAGTTTGACCTCACAGTCCCACTGAAAGTGTCCCACCTGGAGAACAGCTCTAGGCTGAGGGGATACAGCATTTAGTCTATAGCAGTTGAACACAAGGACAAATTGTAAAATGTCCCTCAGGTTGCAATCTGACTCTATCTATGAGAAAGCTGTGGGAGAGAATAAGCCCAACCTCCTGATTTTACCCACAAAGAAAGCTGAGCCCAGAGAAGTGAATGGATTCACCCAGCTCACACAGCCACCCAGCACCAAAGCTGGGACTGGGTTTCGGATG